TTATCAGGACTACTGGACTGAAAATTTTAAGGTGCGTGAAAATGTGCATGCATGTGTAGGCGCACGCACGTGCGTGCGTGCGTGTGTGTGTGTGTGTGTGTGTGTTTGTCTATCATCCCACCACCCTTAGACTCGATGGGCATTTCACGGGAAAGGGATATCAGAAGGTCCTTATGTATCCTATCACAGTAGGAAGTAGAAAACATGCTTCCCTATATAAATATCAGTAGATATATACCTTCAATAATCCACTTTCATAGCTCCTACAGACAGGAACATGGCATAGTTGAAAGAGCACTAAACTTGGAATCAAAGAGACATGGGATCAAATCTCATCTCTAATACTTAACTACTTGCATGACCATGGGGAAATCATTAAGCTTAATTGAGTGTGTTTCCTCATCTGAAAAAAAAAAAGCTGATCACATGACTAGTTCTTATCTCACAGGGTTCTTCTGAAGATCAAATGAGGTAATACATGTCTGGCATTCAGCAAATCCTAAAGAACTGTATCACTGCCAATTATTGTTGTTACCAAAGAATAAAATGGAAGGAGCTACTTTAAGTTTAATTGTCTTTCCCTTGTAGCATTCTATTTAACACACTGGCTAATCCGTGACCACTTTGGAACTACTACAGATTCTTGAAAACAAGTAAAATGGAGTTTGGAAGCCATGGCAGAGAGCCACAAATTGTAGGACAGCTGGTTGGTGGCTTATTAGGCAGCTCAGGTGCCAGGCACAGTCCCCTTCTCCACTCCTCTGATGCCACTTTCATTTACTTGGCCACAATACTTTCTGCTTTTCTCCTGGCCCCTCCTAGGCCCTGGGAAAAGTAATCTGTGGGAGGAAGGAGGGAGTTTTGGTTTTCATTAAAGGTTCACTTTCATGTCTCTGTTATTTAACCTCAGCCTCTTTGGCTATTAGGGTACGTGGAGTTTGGGCTCAAGAGAAAAGTGAAATCTTCCCTTAAAAAAATAAGTACCAACTTTCCTAGAGCAGGGTTAAGTATGGGAGTGTAGGAAGAGAGCACAGAGAAAAGGGGGTACCTACTATTTTTTGTCTGTTTTTCTCTTCATAATCTTACAGAATACATATCAGCAGAGAAGCCCCTAACAAATACCCATGGAAACACCTAGTCTGTAAGATACATTTTAGTTGCTGAGAGCATTTGCTAGCCTCTTTATCAGGACTGCTGGACTGAAAACTTGAAGGCCTAATTAAAGAGGAATACGTTTCATATTCTTTATGAGACAACGTGTGGAACACCTTGCCTGGCAAGCTGTCAGTGCTTGAGGTTAGAAGATTCCTAGCTTACGCACGACATTCTCTTGTGGCAGTTATACTTATGTCCCCTAATAAGTGAAGCATCCTGAGGAAGAGATAGCAGGCATAATGGGTTAGGGGAGTCATATCAATGCAAACCCCTCCCATCAGATACTAATGGAGACAGCCCAGGATCCTGAAGCAGACAGTAGGACCAGGAGCATAAACCTCTTTCAGGAACTTGTAAGGTTTTCAACTTGTTTAATTAATGAATTAATCAATAATTATTTATTAAATGCTTACTATGGGCCAGGCACTATGCTAAGTGCTGGGGTTATACAAAGACAAAAGTGAAATAGTCTCTGCCGTCAAGATTAAATTCTAACGTGTGTATGTTTATTTATGTATATGTGTATGAGTATGTATATGTACATATATCTGTATTATATATGTGTATGTATAAAAAGGAAGCTTGATTTCAAGGACCTGGAGGGAGAAACAACTGGGACAAAACCCCACCAGAACAAAGCAGGCATGCTAAAGAAGCATTGCACAAATGAAATAAAAGGAGAAGAGATTAATGAGCTGCCTTCCAGAGGGGGAGTAAGACTTTTATGTCCAACTGTTGATATTAAGTCAATCAATAAACATTTATTAAGTGCCTACTGCATACCAGGCACTGTGCTAAGCACTGTTATACACATTAAAGTGGCATTAGAAAGAAATGGAAAAGATTATATAATTAAAGGAAGACTAATCTTGGACAGGGTGGCAAGGCAGGGGTGGCAACTGTGTTTACTTAAGGGTGACATTTGATATTTTATTAGTCCTTGTGAGGACTGGTGAATGTCCAGGCTGGTCTTGGTGAACATGCTGGATCACTCCATTTTAAGATAGATTGCATAGAGACAGACAAAGGTAGGGAAGATAAAAGTGTCAAATGCTTACATTAAAATTTGTTCAGTTTATTATTTCTATCTCTGACTAGCTGGAATATTAGACATGCACATATAGGTTCACAGATTGAGAGTTGGAAGGGCCTGGGCCTTAGGGTTCATTGGATTCAATTCCCTACTGCATAAAAGAGTAAACCATGGCCTGAATATTTAATTATCTTGCCCAGGGACATATTACTTATAAATATATGAGATGGGATCCAAACCCATTTCTTCTTCACTCCAAGTCCACTCTGTTCACTATACTCTGCTGCCTCTCAGGAAGTCATGACTACTGGAAAGAATTTATAGGTTGAGAAAAACATAATTCAAGAGATTTTTATGAAAATGAATCCTTATTGACACCCTTTAGAAAACACTACAATTATTTCCGCATTGCAGTTTTGATATATCACAGGTCAGCATAAGAAATTAAATAGGAATTTTGGGGGAGTTTTGCAGAAGCCACAGACAACATGCAAAGGCTGACAGACTCAGAAAAAGTTTAGAAACTCAGAAATGCATAAAATATATCTATATTATATATGTCATGTTATATATATATATATATATATATAATACATACATAATAGCAACCCACATTTTACAATAAGGTACTGTAAACACCCCATAAAAGAAAAAAAAATTCAGACTTCTTCTCTGGTACGAATATGTGGATTTTCCAGATCGTGGTGTATCACATCACTAATCCCCTCGATGTGAAAGGGATAACCGTACTTTTTGATGACATAAAATGCCATTTGATTTTCTTTTTATGTTTGTTTTATGAAGGAACGAAGGTAAAACTAACTCAGAAGTTCCTGTTACATTGGTCAAGGAGTTCTCAAGTAGCTGGTTAGGGTAGAAGAAGTCGACCTTATCATGAACAAACACAGGTATACTGTAAAGCCTACTGGCTTAGGCAAAGCTAGGAGGACCATTATACCAATATTTCCTCACCCTTTACTTGGTAGAGAATGTGAAAGTGTTGGGTTACTGGATATCTGGGACTAAACGGTGCTCGTAAAGGAGGGTTGTCATGTAATGGAAGAACAAAAGTACTGAAGAGACTACCTGAAGAAGGCTTGCTTCTATTGCTAGGAGATAAAGGGAAAGAGGATTTCAGAAAGAATGGGGTTAAATACAAAATATGCTCTAGAAACTCTAAGGCTTAATGAGATCCCTTGTCACTGCTGGCAGGGGGTAAACTGAGCCCTTGGCAGGTGCAGTCAGTGATGACCCACTCTGGGGCAACCCCCTAATCTCCTCACCCTATTTCTGTCTCAATTCAACTGCTGAGGTGGTCCTGGCCACACTGCTGGTCAGTAGCTATCAGTGCCCTGTTAACAACTCCTAACACAATTGCTGATATTCTACTGAAAATAAACTTCCTACGTTTTAATTTTACAAAACAACCCTAGTTAATCACTCTGCACTCCAGCTGTCTAATTCATTTCTGTTACTATACTAAAGAGAAACAGACTGTGCTCTGAAAAGTTTTTTTTTCCCTCCTGAAACTCTTCTGTGATTGAAACTGAGATTTTTGATGAAAAAAAAAATTAAAGTGTTTTCAAACTTCTTAATTAAAATTTTTTCATTGTCTCTTATTAAGGGAAAATTTAGTCACTGTCTCTTTGTATGATGAATATAATCAGTGCCTGGCATGTAAGGAGAATTTACTTATGCTTCTTTTTTAAGCAGTCATAAGTAGAAGGACTCTTATACTGCAAGACAAGTTTATCAAAGACACATGCAAAAGCTGAGAATAGACATTGCTTTTTCAAAGTAGGCCAGAAAAGGAAAAAAAGATTACTTGTGGCTAAAGTGGAACAAATTGAATTATAAGAAGCTTAATACATTTATTCTACATACAACTGCATTTCCCCAATGTCAAGGTTATCATAATCTGTATGGTATTTTCTTAACTCAAAATAGTTAAACACGAGTTTGATTTTCCACGGCCACACTCCAAATCAATCCGTAGATGGCTCTCCAGACCTTATGCCTTATGCTATCTACAGCTCTAATTCAATAAGCAACTAGCTGCTTGGATAGTGGGACTTCATTTCAAATAATGCATATATTTTCCTGCAACACAGATTGAAATTGAGACAATTTTACATCTACTGAGATAATCACATGGTTTTTGTTGTTTTTATTATTGATAGGGTCAATTATGCTTATAGCTTTCCTGATATTGAACCAGCCCGACATTCTTAGTATAAATCCCACTTGGTCAGAGTTTATGATCTTTGTGATATATTGCTGTAATCTCCTTGCTAGTATTTTGTTTAGAATTTTGGCATCAATATTTGTTAGGAAAACTGGGCTATAGTTTTCTTTCTCTGTTTTTCTCTTCCTGGTTTAGGTATCAAAACCATTTTTGTGTCATAGAAGGAATTTGGTAGGACTCCTTCTTTATCTATTTTCCCAAAAACTTTATATAATATTCACATTAATTGTTCTTTAAATGTTTGGTAGAATTCACTTGTAAAATCCATCTGGTCCTGGGGACTTTTTCTTAGGGAGGTCATCTATGGTTCATCCAATTTATTTTTCTAAGACAGGATTATTTAAGTATTCTCTGCACTTGAGACAATTTTGAATTCCCCATTTGCCTTATCTTTTCCATCTTTGTGGAAAAAGCCAAAACAAAAAAACAAAAACAAAAAAAAATAACTAAGGTAACTGTTGTGCTTTTATAATATGACCAAGATGAGATCATTAAACAGAGACTACAATAGAATAATCCAAGAGAAAAAGGTCAAACCATCAACAATGAGGGGAAAATGATTCTTACCCCAAAATCATCCCGCCACTGATGGGCTGCTTGAAATTTCTCTGCTTTGGTAGCCAGGCGCTGGAAAACAAACAAACACAGAAGATAAATGTTCAAAATGCTCACGTGAAAATAATTGTCTGGGAAATATTACTTTTGATTTTGTGAGCAACCATCAGATTATGGAGAACCCAAATGATTCCCTACTGCTGGTTAATGGATGCTTAGGCTTAAAGTATTCTGAACTGCTTTAAGACATCCTATCTGAAAGTCTCATTATTCCTGTAACTAAGCACTCCTGAATGCAGCTTAGTTTACAACCTTTGTGATCATCAGTAGCAGTATTCACCATGATTTATGTTTATCATCTGGTCAAGCTCTTTTTCATCAAAGACTCCATCAAACCATTTTAGAAGGGTATTCTTTCCCACTTGCTGACATTATTTATTTCTGTACAAGTCAGATACAACAAATTATGCCAAGCAAAACAATTATCCACTTAGCAATCAATTTATTTAACCGTGCTTGGGGCAGCAAGATGCCCTTTGTTATTGAAAGGATGGCATGGTACAGAGAAGGGAGTGCTGGAAGGAAAATGCTGGTAGGGAAACCTAGGTACAAATCCCATCTGGCTTTTACTAGTAGTATGGCCACTGGTGAGCCCCTTCATTTATCTGAGCCTCAGTTTTCTCTTCTGTGAAATGGAGAGAGGAGTGCCTATTTAAGATTATTGTTTGACAGTTCCACTGATAAGATGTTACTTAAGGTCCTTCGTAAACTTTAAAGCCCTAAAGTCTAATATAACTAACTGCCAGTTGTTATTAATCTATTTTTAAACTCTCTACATTATTAACATGTAATACTATATAGAAGTTCACTAACTATTCTTAATAAAATTTGTTAGCATTTAAAAAATATGTTTATAATACTTTTGGTTATTCAGTTCCTATATGAAGTACTTGGTATTATATGAAGTGTATATATAAAGTACTAGTTTTTGATACTAAGCTTGAAGGGTCTGTTAAGATCTCTGGAAGACACCTTAGAGATCTTAACAATCCCTTCAAACTTAGTATCAATACTTAGTGAGTTCTTTATATAAGAACTGAATAAGCAAAAGCATTACAAACATTATATATATGTATACACATATACACACATGCACACACACACATATATATGTATATACAAATATATGTATTTGTGTGCACGCACGCATGCACACACACACACACACACACACACATTTTCCTAAGGTGTCTTCCAGGGTATCTAGGTGTTGCAGTGGATATTGTATCAGGCCTGGAGGTAGGAAGATTTGAGTTCAAACACGGCCTTAAACACATGCTACCTTAGGTAAGTCACTGAACCCTATTTGCCTCAGTTTCCTCATCTGTAAAATAAGCTGGAGAAGGAAATGACAAACCACTGCAGTATCTTCATCAAGAAAACCCAAAATGGGGTAATTAGGAATTAGACACAACTGAGAGGACTGAACAATAATATCAATAAAAAGTGTCTTCCTGATCTAATAATTTAAGAATTTCTGATTCTAAGGTATTGATTACTGCATGACTGCTTTTTGAGATCTCAGATCATGTTGGGTATAAACTTTTCTGACATACCTGCAGATCCCATTAATTACACTCTAAAATAAGACAGCAGCAATTTAATTTACCAAGACTTTAACATATTTCATGAAGCAACTCATAGTACTTAGAGGTCTATCTCAACCATAAGCTTATTATTACCTCATACAATCTCTAGCTCCCAAAGCACCAATCCCCTGTAGTTTTTTTAAGATTCTTTATTTGCCTTAAGGAAAGCATTTTGTAAAACCCAAAGCAAATATGAAATAAGTGTTCTGGCTACCTTAGATGATATCAGAGGATCCTTTCAAAAGAAAAAGTTATGATTCCTCTCAAATCTTTACATTCTTTTAATGCATTCTTCCATTATCCACCCCCATACCTTACCACACCACGTATTAGCTTAGATGACCTCTGTGGGCCCTATCAGGCCTAAAGTCTTATAATTCAATTCAAGAATTCAACAAACATTTATTAAATGCCTATGATATGCAATGCTCTGTTTTAGGTGCTTGGTGATACCAAAACAAACAAACAAACAAACAAAAAACCCCATCTCAGTTCCGAGAGAGATTTCCTTTTCCTAGATTTTACATTCTGCTATGTTCTGTAGCACATTAAAAAAATTTATTAAAACTTTTGTTTTTATATTATAATAATTGCAGAATACATCAGCCTCCCCAGCCCCACTGCACATACATCAAATTAGTATAAGAAGGGTGTGTCACAACTCCCAATCTCACTTATGGGGTGAAGACTTTTTTATTGAATCACCAGAACTAATCAATCAAATAAGTAAATGATATGTGAATGATTCCTAAGCACCTCTATGGAATCAATCAATAAAAGGCATAAACTAGATGGGAAGAACCTAGTTAGTCAAGCTGGGAAGGAATGAAGTGCTTCAAAGAAATGTAATGGGATTGATTGGAAGAACTAAACATAACCCCAGACCTATATTTCAGAGAAGGAAGTTCTAGGAGCATTTCAGCAACTGCTTGAAATTTGGGAAGCTTTTTTTTTTTTTTTTGGTGAGGCAATTGGGGTTAAGTGACTTGCCCAGGGTCACACAGCTAGTAAGTATGCAGTGTCTGGTCTGGGGCTAGATTTGAACTCAGGTCCTCCTGACTCCAAGTCGGAGCTCTATACACTGTGTCACCTAGCTGTCCCTGGGAAGTATTTTTAGGAGCCAGAACCAGGGGTGGGGAACCTGCAGCCTCAAGGCCACATGTGGCCTTCTAGGTTCCCAAGTGGGGTCCTTTGATTCAATTTAAACTTCACAGAACAAAACCCCTTCTGTAAAACTTGGACTCAGTCAACAGGCTAGACCCAAGGATCTAGAAGGCTACACGTGACCTCGAGGCCGCAAGTTCCCTACCCCTAAACTAAACCATTTCACTGAGGGTGGAGAAGAGGGAAGGATTGGGAGAGTCTTAAGGGAGACCCCCTTCCCGCCCCCCCTCCACTGCCCTTAATAGATCAGACCAGTAACATATAATGTATCAAGCCAGGAGGAGATGACAAATTAGACATGCTAAGGAAAGACCAACTTTTAGTCTCGTCACTAACGTGCCCCATCCAATATGCTCCCAATATCAGTTACTCAGCCAGAGTTAACCTATTTTTTTGCTATTTGTAATGGAATGATAATATCCCCTTCCATTCACTTAAAAACTTTACTCCATTCCCCCCTACCCCCACCCCATAGTCTTTGGTCCAGTAACTGAGGCCTCCGTGTTCTATCCAATCTCCCAACTCCAACTGTCTCCAAATTCGGAATGCTCTTCTTCCTCATTTCTGTCTCCTGGCTTCCTTCAAGTCCCAGGTAAAACATAGCATTGTTTACTACAGTTCTTTCCTGATGGCCCTTAATTCTTGTGCCTTCCATCTGATTATCACTTTCCAATTTATCTTGAACAGAGCTTATTTGTACATAATTGTTTGTAGGTTGTCTTCCTCATTAGATCGTGAGCTCCTTGAGAATAAGGACTGTCTTCTGCCTTTCTTTCTATTGCCAGAGCTTACCACAGGGCTTGTAACCTAGCAGTAGCCTGATGACTGTTTATCAACTGCCTAGACTGGAATGAGGACTTTGAGTTGTAGGCTCTTTCTGATCTCATTGGCCATTTGTTTGGTAAAACTCAAGGGTACAGGTGATGTGACCTGGAAGGTAGTGGGTGCAGTGAGTAAAGTTTTACCACTAAGCCTTGAGGTCAAAGAGATCATTAGGCATATAAAAAGAATATGGCCTACATGTGTTCCTGTAAATATCTGACACATGCAGTGTGATCTCTTGATTCATGTGGAAATATAGGTACTAAGAGAGAGGTAGGGTTTACTCAGGTGCATGATTGGTATCCCACCTCTGATGTTAAAAAGAAGGTGGCAGTCACTGAAATTGCATGGTACATGGAAGTTTTCATGAAAAATTCCACAGAAGATGATAGGAAAGGGAGGTAGTACCAAGCAAGAGGAGGGGAAAGAACAGAAGATGTGTGTCAAACAGAAACAACCTGATGTTAGAAAGGCTACAATACACACATGTGTGTATATGCGTGTATATGTGAATATATATGCATATATGTATGTGTGTATACACATATACATACATATAGTGTGTTACTATCATATATCCTTTAATCTGCATTTAACGTTCTATTAGTAATAAGAAGCTTTAATATCAATGCAGAATGGTAAATCCTCCAAAAAACCCTGTTCACCTCATCTTCAAGAACATGCTCTGTCACATGTACAATCATAAAATTGCTTTTGGAATCTGCTTTTTTTCATCTTGTTGTTTGATCAAAAGCTTCTGGAAGGCAGAGATTAACATTAAACTTTATAGAATGGGACATACGAAGCTACTATTCAACTTATGTAGTTTACTGTTTATCCATGGTGGTAGAAATGGGTGGGAATGATGATAATCATCTTATTTTGAAAGGAAAATTATTTAATTTGTTTCTTTATTTCTAATAGATTACATACTCATGTAAATCAAATGTTTTAGGGATGACAGAGATATACTTTCCCTATAAAAGTTTGAATGAATCCCTTCTCAAAGCTAATATGCTATGAATTCTCATTTAATTTTCAATGTCCAGAACTAAATGATCATGAAAGATTACCCACCACTGACACCATCTTTGTATTTCAATAACTTTAGTGAAAAGATTAAGGTCAGTGAAACTTTTATATGAAAATAATATAACACATAATTGTGCTTCAGATATCAATGTCTCCTTCTAGGTGCTTTTGCCAACACACCACGGTGAATGCTGTTCTGTGTTAGCAAATGCCAACTGCTCCTGGCTAACAGAAAATTACTATGTCTTGTGGACATTTCAAGTCCCTAATTAACTTCTAAACTGGCCAAGTGCCATCTTATTTTAAAGGCCAAACAACCTGCAATTAAATCCTGCAGGCAATTTGTGCAAGGACAGACCAAGCCTAGCCCTAATAAAATTTGAGCATTAAAGCATCCATGCTTCA